CGCTCTTCCCATCAGCTGGGGCACTCTGTTTTTCCTTTGGGGAACTGAGAATAAGGGTGTCATTATTCAGCAGAACAGTCAGGGTGAAAAGGATGGACGTACTGATTTCTTTTCTTGCTCATTACATAATCATTACTGCATCAACATGTAAACCATTAACCTAGTTTAAAATACAGTTCAAAAATATATATCAGACTGGGCTTACATCTAGATTGCTTCAAACAATAAAGACATACAATTTATTTTTAAAAGAAAAGCCATACAACGTTCATGCCATTGCAAATATTAGCCTGTTAATCCGCATTTTAACAGGCAGCAGCTTCTAATACTCAATTTACATCTGGCAAGGAGACAGTCTATTACAAGTTGTTAGTGCTGTGACCAAGAATTCGGAAGTGTCTAGCTCCCAGTGCAAATCTTACAACCTCGTACCTATAGTCATGAACACATAATTGGGTTTTTATGCTTCTGTTCTCTACCTGAATAATGGTGGCTTTTCTGTGGAGTCATTGTAGGACATTCTTTCAACACACTTCTGCCGGTAACAGGGTAGTAGCCTGGCATCAGTAGAAATTTCTGAATCTCCAATCAAAGTGATCCTTTCGCTCTTTATAGGAAACCTAGTCTTGTTCCTTACTTCATCCAAAGAGCGTACCAACCGAACCTTCAGAGAACCATAATCAAAATGTTTAGAATTCTTTCCAACCTACTGAACAGAGAATAACAACAAAATAATTGATGAAAATAGTGGGGGAAAGGCAGCAGAAGAGAAAGGTAAAATAATGAATGCTACTTGGCACGTGCATAACAATTTTCATCCAAGGCTGTTTTCAAAATGAGAAAAAAAAATATTCCTTTCCTCTGAGAGGAAAACTGAAGGAAACTAGATTGTGTGCCTTGCTTATGGTTACCAGGAAAGTCAAGAGCAGAGTGAGAAATGCCTGCATCTGGTTTACTGTGCCACTTAATGTATCTTTCACTGCGGTGTTGTAACGATTCTGCCTTCAGTTAATATATCCTGATACACAAGGAAGCATATGCTGAAGAGAACACAATTATTTTCTACTAAAACAAAACCCAGAAAGGTTGAAACTGGCCTCTGGTTTGAAGTCACCATTTTAGCAGTCAGCAAACAACCGACCAACACAATTAACTCCTTTGGCGTTTACCCGACCCTTTTTATTTTACCTCGTCCTCAAGGAGGTGCGCAGCCCCCATCGGCTCCATGCGGCCCACCACAGCCAGTTTCCAGAAGAATCGCGATTAACAAGCTAGGGCCCGAGGGGAGATAAAACATTTCAGTTTGAAAAGGCCCTCCTAAGGGTGGAACTACATGCCTACCCTCACGCGTTTCCACTAGCCATCAATATTGCTGCACGCAAAGCAATCGGAGGATTTAAAAATCTCTCTGTGATGATTTACCAGTGTTTGAGGCCACTGGGCTGAAGGGAGAAGAGCC